AGTCATCAATTTAGCCTTCAGCAGATATTTAGAAAAAGGGGCATTTACATTGTCTACTAAAATATCATAAGAATTGTTTCCAACCCAGTTGTTACTATTGTTCCCATCTGAAACCTCTGAAGCTGGACCTCCATCATCCATGTTGCTTTCAGAACTACAGTCTTCTAAGCTCCTTCATGGATGGAGCTTTCAGTCCTACAATCAGCATTCAACCACTTTTGAAGTCCAAAGTTCTAAGGTTTTACACATTCCAAAATATAATGTGGTCAGTCCTGTCACACAATTGGATCCTGGCCCTCACTTTCCTCTCCATGTAGTTCAGGTCCAGTTATTGTCATTGTGGATGTGAGGGTACTTGCTGAGCCTTGTCTAGGGCTTCCTGCCCTGTGGCAAGGATTACACATCATGGTTGACCATGCCCAGGGATATTTTCTGCTTGTCAAAAGCTGCTGGTGATTTTTTGTGGGAAAGAGGTAGCTTCTAATAGCCATGATAGAAGACCAGGCCTCCAGAGGGAGGCTATCTGGACAATGGGCTGAATGAGTTTTCAGTTCCTGGTTCCCTATCTACTAGCATGAGGCAGAATCTAAGGGAGGGATGAGATGCTCAGGGCTGGGCAAATGAACCACAGCCTGTGGCTGTCCCACCACACCATATAATGGGGGAGATGATACCCATCATATGCTGCCAAATAAAACCACTAGTACCATGATGGGTTACATAAATTTGAATTGGTGGCTAAAGGGCTTCCATAGATACCTGAAATATAACAGGTTATTGTCAAAGTATTGGTTACTCACTACAACTGATGGTAAGGCTAAACACAACACAATACTTATGTCACAGAACATGGAAAATTTGAGCTGATAATGACTGGAAGTTTCACCTCTACTGACTTCCACTGATAGTGATGGAAGGTACTATACACGCTGCTGGAGGAGAAAAGTAATTATTCATCACACCCACATATCTCACCCTGCAAGCTACAATAATGACCTGCCAGTGTTATGGGGATCCCACCAGACATGACTACTCAGACATAGTTTATACCCAACTAGAAGTGTTTATTCCAGCTATAATCAAGTATTCAGAACCTAAGTGTATATTCCAATGATTAGAGCAAGGGACTTTTGAGGACAAAGCCGTATCTTGGTATTTTATTCTGCAGCTACCATGGGAGGTTTTGTGTAAGCAAGCAGTTTAACAGAAACTGAGATAAGTGGCTAGCTGGAGGAGGAGGTTTGCCGAAGTAGGCATTTTAACAGAAGCTAAGATCCGTTAGCTGGGGCATCTTGACTGTGGATTATTTGAATAGAGAAAGGCAATTTTACATAAAAATTCTCCATCAAGGAGATCAAATTCTAGTTAAACCTGAAATGGTCCCAGCAAGAATAAAAGATGAAGGGACCCATGCGCTGTCTTGCCCTGTTATGCCTGCAAGATATATTCACCCGCGCAATAGCGGCATGAATGTTGTGGGAGTAACCAGCCACTTTTAAAAATTGAATTTAAGGCCCACTCTATGAGATGGAACAAATACTTGACATTGTTAATAAAGCCAAAAATTTGAAACTCTGTATGTTCCGAACCCCAGGGAAGAACTAACTACTGTTTTTCTGCTAAGTGAACATAATAATAAAATAACACTTAAAGATAAATTGCCATACATATAGATCAGTGTATTACTCAACCCTCATCAAATAAGCATCTTCTCACAGTAGATGGCAATTAACCAAGAGACTTACAACTGAACAATGTACAGAGTGAAAAACATTGGAGGACTCATCCAATGGAATGTCACTCCTCCCTTCCATCAGTTTATCAATGTGGAAGAGGAGGCTGAAAGATTGTAAGAGCCAGAGATGAGACAACCTCGAGGAAAGAAACTGTTTTCTAACATGTCAAAAAAAAAAAAAAGAAAAAGAAATTGTTTTCTAGACACAAATGAATATATGCACATTTCCACTCACAGAGACTGTGACACCATGCACAAGACCTACAAACTCAAGCATGGAAAAGGAGAAATGGGCCTAAAGTGTCATCTCTATGTCATGGATAGCTACTGGAAGAGGAAAAATCTGTTTTCATCAGTGGAGTATATCAAGTGGAGTATAACAAGGAGTATATCAACCACACTCTAGGAAAGGCCTCATGCACAGGAGTAGCTACCCAAAACAAATTGGGCTCCATGCTTTTTGTTTGTTTTGTTCCTTTTGAGAGATAGGTATGTGTGTGTGTGTGGAGAGAGAGAGAGAGAGAGAGAGAGAGAGAGAGAGAGAGAGAACATATGATATTGGATGTGTGAGTATCTTGGGGAAATTGAGGGAAGGTAGAATAAAAATTTTAAAAACAAAACAACAGTCCCTGGCACCATCCAAAATCTATGTCTTTTCACCTTACCAGGAGATTATAGGGTAGGAAAACCTCAGCTTACCCACACATCAAGAAGAAGTCCTATTTCTTCTGATGCTGATCACTTAGCAGAGAATCTTGATATCTTTACCTGGACTGTGATGATAGGGTTTAGTTGGTTAGCACAATATCTAGTCACCCAGTTCTCTTTGTATGATTTTACTAATAGTTTGAGTGTAGTGGTTGAATGAGTGGGCCACTGGCCCATTTTTTTAAATACATGGTCTGGAGTTTGTGAAATTTTTTAGGAAGAATTAAGAGGTGTGGGCTTGTTGGGGGAGGTGCATCACTGTGGGGTGGGTTGCGGTTTTTAGTTGCATTCTCAGTGTTCTTTCTCTGCATTCTACTTGAGAATCAAGATATTACTTCACAGCTATTTCTGTTGCCATACCTTTGTTCCACCATCATGAACTATAATCCTCTGAAATTGTAAGCCAAATTAAATGCATTCTTTTATAACTTGTCTTAGTTATGGTGTTTTGTTACAGCAATAGAAAAGCAAGATTTTAGGCAATTACAGGAACTCACAACAGAAATAACATTGGCTTATGTTATTTCTTTGCTTAATTTATTTTCTGGATACACATGGTGACACGTCTGTGACACAACTCTTAGGAGACTAAGACAGGAAATACTGAGGTCAAGGCCAGCACGAATTACATCAGTTGTTGTAAACGACAATTAATATTTACTATTGGTTTATCTTTTAGTATGCTGCTGTTAATCCTAAACAGCTGTATAACCAAATCACCACACAGAAACTGGGTTTATTTAACCTAGAACACAATGCTGGGCAATAGTTACTCCCTCATAAACCTCCAAGCCCTCATAGTTTCCTAACATTTAGATTTTACCCATTGTACTTGCTTTTTGTGAAATCTTAGGTCTGGTTCATTCTCCACGTAGTTCCAAGATCTCTCCTCCAGCTCTGTTCTCCTAGCTCTCCCTCACCCTTTTCTCCTCCCCCTCATTTCCTGCCCTCTGGCTCCTCCCCTCTTTCTTGTCCTCTGGCTCCTCCCATTGCACAACATTGTGGCTAGTTGCTTTATTTTGGCCTGTTTACACAAAGTTGAGTTAGAATGCTTAGAATAAGTATCACAATGCAATATCTGGATTGAAACCAGAGAGTGTGGGGGGGAAATCAGCATTTGAATGTAAGGTGTATACATTTCAAAAGAACATTATACCAACAATCAGTGAAACACTTCATTGTTCAACCAATGAGAATTCTCCTTACATTTCTGCCAGCTCAGTTAAGGGTTACTACTAAATTATGGCTTCCATGCCTCTTTCTCCTCAATGTGGATGACAAAATAAAGTAACAAAAAACTAAGCAAATAATATTTAACATTATATATCCACATATATGTCTGTATCACTTATATATACATATATTTATGTATGTATGTATGTATGTGGATATGTACATGTGTTAGATATATGTGTATGAGAAATGTGCTTCTTTACCAAACAGTCCTGTCTCCCTTGTTTTGTCTCTGATATCCCCACTTCTCCTTCTTCTTCTCCGCCTCTTTCTCCTTTTCCTCTTCCTCCTCTTTCTTCTCCTCCTTTACCTCATCCTGGAGGCTGCCTCTTCATTTATTCATAACATATTCAACTGTTGCTATGAAGAAAGATAATGACATTCCTAATGAGAGTCAATCACCATCTGCTGGAAGCTCCAGGACCTTACTAACATAGTGTAAGTGTTGTTCCTCTGTTTCTGAGTGCCCTAACATACTTTGGCTTGACAGAATACTTGGATTCAGTTGTTAACTTCATTCATTTCCAGGTGAAGATCTGAGACTCAGATCCCATTCATGGTTTAAGGTCCAATTAAAGGGATAAGCTATATCTAAAGCAGATTTTTAAATTGATTTCTTAAGTTCAATATATTCTGATTAAGGTTTCCCTCCACCATTTACACTTTTTTCTGCCTTTTTTTAAAATTCACTTTACATCTCGATCATAGGCTGTTCCCTCCTCTCCTTCCTGTCCTATCCTTCCTCTTTCTTCCCCTTCTACCACCCTCCCTACTTCTCAGAAAAGGGGAGCCTCCCCAACCCACCCTAGCACATTAAATTGCATTAGAACTGAGCATATCCTCTTCCAATGAAACTGGGCAAGGTAGTCCTGCCAGAAAGAAGTGATCAAAAAGTAAAGCCAAAACAGATTTTAAGCCCCTGATTCCTCAGTTCTAAATACCAAACTTTCCATATCCCAACTGGTGCTTCCCTCCCTACATACATATTATAAATACCTGAGGCCTTAAAGTATCATAAAATCCACTCTAGAACACTGAAGTTGACATCTCTAGAAACTACACATTTAGGAATATTCCCTACTAATATTGAGGTGGCCTGTTCAAGGGCATTGGTAGCCAGCCTAGCAAGCTACTATCCAGAGGTACTAAGTAAAGACACAAGCTGAACTTCTGTTTCTCTGCTCCATAGAATGCACACCTGTAACCTTAACGAGCCAACTTCTACATGCTATTTTCAGACACAGACCTCTGTGTCAGATGAACATTTGCTGGTACAAACTGACCCATATGTTTACTTTTCCTATCTTCTTTTTCCTATTCATAGGTACAAAGAAGCGTTCTCATGACTCGCCCGCTCCAAGCACTAGTTCCACAAGTCGCCTTACCTTGCCCGGTAGGTAGATAATTGTCCTATTATGTCAATGACCACAGACAACACAAAGCACTAGTGTTGCAAGAGTTGGGAGCGGCAGCTGTAGTAGAGTCTCTGTTCAAGTCCACCTTTTCAGGAGTGTTGTGTCTGTTGCCTTCACCTGGAAGTTTCTTCCAGATGTGGCCAAGCTGTTTCCCAGACAATGATAATTGTTTTTATTCAGCAATGGACAGATTGAACAAGCTGTGAAGTATCTGCTTCTGAGATTCGGGTAGTGCAGGGAAAATGAATAGGCAGAGAGAGATAGAGATGATAGATACATGCTAGATAGATAGATAGATAGATAGATAGATAGATAGATAGATAGACAGACAGACAGACTTGGATTCAAATCCAGCCTTGTCATGTTAACTTTGCAACCTCATCTGTGCCCCTTGTCTTGGAACATTGGTTTTCTCACCCATGTCATCTCTCTAAGGATTACAAATGACACCTCTAACCTTAGTACACTCTGACACAGTACCATAGCTAACAGCAGGCACAGTGAAGGCCTACTGTTGAAAATATGGAATTATATATGACCCAGATCGCTTCTAGTACCTCCTAGGAAGATATTCACCTATGATAATCACTGGTAGGTGCAAGGTAGCACTTGCTACCTTCCCTGAGTCATGCATAGCCTTACACTTCCGATTATAATTTTAATCATAGCTGGGTTTGCTTTGAGGAAGAGAAGTAAACATGGTAAAAAGGTAAACATGGTCAGTGTAAGCTTTCTTTGCAGTAATAGGAAACACTATAGGAAGGAAAGATGCTTAGTGTTGCTTGTTAATTTTACCCATGAACTAAGATCCCCTCTCCTTCTAGGTATTATTACACATCTTTTCTTGAGTTCAATTTGTATCTTATATAGAATTTTGTTTTCCCCTTTTGAAATTTACTGTTATATTAGAGGATTTTTCTATATGTTAGTAAATTTACCAAATTTCTTGATAATTGGCTAATATGTATATGATTACATCAGTTTACCTACATGTGTAGTGACAAGTTTACATTTGTGCCGCTTGAATTTTATTATTATAATCATGTTACATTCTTGTGCATAAGTATTTGAAGTCTAAGTAGGGAGTGGATGACATTTCTAGGATAGATATCTGAGCTTTAGGCTGTGTAGATACTTGGGTTTTTGTCATGAATCCTTTTAGTAGTATTAATTTTTATTTCTTATTATACTTAATTTATTAATGTGTATGTTTCACTATCTTTTAGCCAATGCTGAATAATGTGTTCCATAATTTACCACTTTAATGGGACAACTGACATCTCATCCACATTTTTCTTTACCTTTATCTTCTTATACCTGTATACTAATGTGAAAATATCTTCTAGATTTCTGCTATATTTCATCTGTTGTGAGAAGCATATTGTCTTATATTTTTATCCCTCTGAAATTAGTCTGGTTAGTAATTCATGGTGTGTAATAATTTAATTAACAAGTTTTCTTGCTTGTAGGTGCAATAATAGCTCACATCCTGATTAGTGGGATTCTAGACAGATGACACTTAATCCACCTTGTCCTGGATTTTCACTTTATGTTCCATAACTCCCTGCACAGGCCTGACCTGTGGATTCAGTCATTGTCTGCTGAGGAGCCTTGAGTTTTCTTGCTTCTGTGACTACCTGAAACCAATTTTCTTGGCTCATTTCTCTTTGCAGCTCTCTCCAAACCATCTTGGTAGAATTAATGATACATGGCAGTGATTATATTTAAAGTTCCTTTACCTATTGATAGGTAACTTTTCTGCTGTGAAACCCATCTTACTCTTTTCTGACCCCAGACTACCAAGGTGATAGGGAGATACCCATCAGTATCCATGAAGTTTCTGAGAATGAGAGACTGAGCACTCTCAGAATTAATTGGTTTGTGATTGTACCATCCTCAGTGCTAGAAACTATCTTATGTTCTGGGTGTAGTTGGTTATTATGCACTTCAGAATTCTGAGCATCAGGAGGAAGCTAGCTTTACACCAGCAATGCCAGTGGAAAGTGATCATGTCTGCTCCTTGGAAGTTATCTCATTATTGAGCCAGGAAGGATGTCAGGAGTCTTTCTGGCCATCTTCAAGAATATGCAGACCTGGCATGGTCTCACATGCTCATCTGAACACCAAGATAGCCTGCGAAATGCCATGATGGCAGCCTTGTCTTTCACCTGAGTTTGTTATTCTAATCTTGTCCCAAGACTTCCTAAGACGTCTTAACTTCTTAGTTCTGACCATCTCCAAAATCTATGGGGTATAGTAAATGCTTCTCAAAATCCATGACACAATTGTGGCACACTGTCTAGCAGATACCTCCACCTTGCTAATTATAATCTCCAGCTTTCATCAGCCCCTTCCTACATCAAGAGCTATAAATGTTTCCTCCTTCTTACTTTGATGGCTTTATGGCTCCCTACTCAAATATGGCTGGTGTCTTCTCAAGCTCCACTTTAAGGAGCTTAGGATGGTATCACAGCTGCATTAAAGAAAATTCTTAACTATTACCAACAAAGAGTAGTTTTAAAAGCATTGATCATACAGTCAGTTGAACCGACGTAACTGAAGATTTTAAGGTTTAAGCATTAATACCATCTTCATGGCTGGATTTAGCATGATCACACCAATCAGCTGCAGACTATTTGATTTAGTCATTTCAGTCATTATTTGGTGAAACTCCTTTTGTGAATTCTGGCCAGGATAACCTGAGATGTTCATTCCTTGATATATACTCCTCTGCTCCAAACACACACAGAGATGGACAAAACAGAAAACCAATTAAAGTCTTGAAAGGCAGAGAAAGAGACAAACAGATCTGGGAACCAGAAACAAAAGGGACTCACACAGGGTACCTGACTCCACAGGGCTGATGTTGTAGGACAGCTGTGCTCCACAGACCAGGCAGGGTGCGTCAAGAAGATACAAAAGGGACTAAAAAATCTTCTGAGACTCAGGAATCCAGAGAGGGACATAATCAGAACACAGCACAGGGACAAGCAGGGTAAAATCCTGTTGCTGCCCTTTCTTTGGAGCTACTGACCTGGAGCAGTGGATTGACAGGCAAGTGCCTTCTTAATAGACAAGGCCAGCACTGGAAGTGAATCTGCAATCTTCCCAATATGAATGGAGCTTTAGAAGCAAAGCATCATCCAAAGTCCCACTCTGACAGAGTGTTTAAGGGATCAAATGGAAATAATTACAACCCATAGACAGGATGTAGACCTGCCATAGGGGGCAGGTGAAGTGGAAAGAAGTACAGAACACAGGAATTCCAAAGATAACATAAGGAGTGACAGGTAAATTGGGCTTCATCAAAATAACCAATCACGTTACTAACTGTGTAAAAAGACAAATTATACAATGGGAGAAAATATTGACAATAATATGTTTGATTAAGGGTTAATTTCTAGAATCTACACAGTACATCAGAAGCTCAACAGTAAAAGCCAAAGATCCAAACTCAAAAATGGACCAAGGAAAAGAATAAGCAGTTTTTCACAGATCTACAAATGATCAATGAATATATAAGTAGATGATTAATCAGTATCATTAATCAGAGAAATAGAAATCAAACTCAATGAAATCTGACTTCAGATATAATGGAAGAAAAAAAATGAATACATTTAGATGAAGATGAAGAGAAACTGGAATCCTTACATGGTGCTGGCAGGAACAGATAACAACGAGGTTATTTGAGAAAGTTTTACAATTTCTTAAAAAGTCAAATGTATCCAGGTATGCTGTGCATGCTGGTTGTCACCTATGGGGCTCAGAAAGGGAGATTAAGATCAAGTGTTAGAAAGCAACCCAGACCCCATAGCAAGTTCCAGGCCAGTTTAGGCTACACAGTAAAACCTAAAAACAAAAAAGCAAAGGGTAAATCTTATATGTCATCAAATGGCTCTATAATTCTGGATTCATAGGCAAGAGAATTATAAGCAAATTTGCATAGGAAACCTTGTTCCCACACGTTCACCGTAATATTACCCATAATAGTCCCAATGTGGACACCACCTACATTTCCAGAAACTGAAGAATGTATTAACAAAATGTCACATCCATTACAAATGAATGAAGTTCTGATGAAGTGCTGAAGATCCATGAGAATATTTCTTTCAGTAGAAGAAGCCAGACACAAAAGCCATGTGTCTATGATTCTGTTTGTATTAAATATTCAGAGACTTGGGTATTGGGTAGTGGGTAGTTGGGTAGTGAGGACAGATGTTAAGGAGAGAAATTCATTGGGTGACTTTTCAAGGGCATGGTATTTTTTTTAAGTGATTAAACTCTCAAAAATTAGATGATGGTAATGATTATATAACTGTGATAATGTGAAAAACCACAAGAGGCATATATCAAAAGGGTGAATTCTATAATAAATAATTTACCATTTGATAAAAGATGGAAGAGAGACGATGTACTGTACATGTGTCAGGATAGACAGGCTGATGGGAAAGCAACATTCAACAGACCTGAATTCAAATAGGCCAAAACAACAAGAACAGCAGCCAAATGCTGTTTTTGTCAAATTAAAGACTTTGTAGGAGAGTTTCCAAAGTGACCTCAATGATAAGAAGAAACCTTAAGTGCAATCAGAGGTTGGTTATGTTCAGGGAAGCTGCAAGTACCAACTGACAACCACCTGGATACAGCAGCTGTCAGAAGGCAATGAAGATGTACCTTCCACAGACAAGGGGAAGCAAGCAATATAAGATTGCTAAAGTAACTCATTTATTCGTAACAAGTGAAGGAGAGAAAAAACGCCTTTAATCTTTATTCTTACATCGTTGCTGAGTGTTAAGGGGCACATATCAGAAAGAAGGGAGAAAGAGGCAGTGTGCAGAAACTACATAACTCCGTGAGTCAGTACACATGTTAATAAGTGTGAGCAACTATAGAAATATTGTGGTAAGACAGAAAAAAAAGAAACTGCATGAAGCCATTGCAATGTGAAATTGAGAGTCCTAATTACTTTTTTTTTCTTTGAAAAGAATTGGGTAATTTTGTGACTTTATAACACAGAGGATCATCACTAAAGTAATTAAAATACAATCTATAATATATTTATGAACCAAACTTTTGGGTCCTGCCCCACTTCTATTTGTTAGGGTCTAATCTACAATGCGATAGTTGGAAGTGTTAGGTCACAAGGATGGAACTCCCATGGTTGGGATAGGGGCTTTGAAACCATCAAATGAGAATGAAACAAGAAGTCCAAACATAAGGCGGAGGGGTTACGTAGACCCAACAGTGCTGGAACTCAAATCTTAAAATTCAAGGTTTATAACCATGAGAAATAAGGTTCTGGTCTTGATAAGCTACCCCAGCAGTCACTGCAGCCCAAATAGCCTGCTCTAGAGCAGGGATCCAAATGAAAAACATAACAAGCAAGAAATCAGTAGACAGAGAAGGGGAATAGTCAAGGATACAGAATGGCTGGTACAGCACAAGCTCAGAGTGTCAAAACAAGCCCATAAATGTAAATAGGTAGCAATCCTTGATTAATCGCCTTCTGTTTAAATTGGCTTTTCAAATACAGAGATCGTCTGATTGGGTGGGGAAGACAAATCTGGTTCCATTCTGTTTTTACATTTGTATATCAGTGCACATTAGTACTATAGTCCTATTACATTCGTATATGGCAAAAGAAACTCTATCCAAATACAAAGCTGGTTCTTTGGAGACCATTTGTATATAACTCTACTATACAAGTGTGTCACGTGGTATTTGATCATCTTCCTGTTGTAGTTGTTTTCTATTCCTGTTGTTACAAGACTGTTTATAAACAGTGTCACATGTTGTTGAGCTATATAACACCCAGAATGATTTGTCTTATTTTAAAACATGAAGAAATATTTACTATTTTATGACTATAAATGTAATCTTTTTCACATAAGCACAGAAATAAACAAATTTTAGATGATGGCTTTGGAGATATAAAGAGATGTAATGAAGAAGAAATACTAATTCTACCTGTGTTTAATCTGTTGAGTGGATGACAGATGTAGGGGAGGATAGAGGCCAAAAGTTGATGTTGGGTGTCTTCCTCTGTCTCTTTCAACCTTACTTATTGAGATGGGGTTTCTCACTGAACCTGGAACTTCCTAACTGAGCTAGGATGGCTGGCTATGAAGCCTTAGACATCCTTCTGGAGGCCTCCCTAGCACTAGGGTTACAGGAATATATCACCACATCTGGCATTTTACACTGATGCTAGTGATCTGAACTCAGTCCTCAGACTTATACAGCAGGCGCTTTCCCCACTGAGCATAGCCCTAGCTCCTATTTAATCTCTTAAAAATATTTAAAACATTGATTGTGTTAAGCTGTATGGAGAGTATAGGCAGTTGTTTTATTAGCATGTATACGTTTCCATGCATTTAAAAAATGTTTACGTAAAGCTATGGCTGTTTGCAAAACAATTGTGTTTGCTTTTGTTCATGCTGTTGTTTAACATGTGCTCTGACAACCTTGACATGTTCCCTTTCTAACCTATGGATATGGTTGGTCTATGAGGAGCTGAGTCTTCTAGGAATTCTGGAAGTTATTTGTAACAGGCCCAAAACAATCATTTAAAGAAAAGACTGTACAGTTCTGAAGTTATCTATCAGGCTCATCCTTCAGCTTCAGCACAAGAGAACTGCTTGGCATCATCATCTGGAACCCCTGCACATCTAAACCAGAGTAGAACTGTCATTGAAAAGACTAGCGCATGCAGACATTTTTTCCCCTAGGCCCTACTTCATTTGTTGCCCAGTGGGAATTTTGAATTTCATGTAGTTTGTTGGTGGGGGACATCCATGATGGAGAACTAGGGAACTGTTGGCTTTTGCCTGAAGAATGGCTCAGAGGTTTACCACCACTACCAGCCTTACCTGTTACCTATCCAAAGCAGTGACCTCTGAGCATCTCCCTCGGGTGCCTCCTGAAGTGATCTGAGGGGACAGGTATGGTACTTAGTCGTTGCTGATGCAGATCTAGCTGGCTGCTCCTGGCACACACGGTGGCATGCACAGTAGTCTTACAGTAGATCTGGCTCTGCTTCTGATCCCTGCTGCCTGCTGTAGAAACAGTTTCTTTATCAAATGCTATCCAGCTCCCAATGACATCATTGTGTCCTGTTGCAGGGGACTACGGATAAAGCATCCATATAGAAACATCCTTCGAAGAGACCTGACCATCTCCAAGGTCTGAAGACATTATGGAAAGCTTATATTTCTTTTCCCCAAACAAAACCTACATGTATTGTAAGTTACTGAGTATTTAATTTCAATTGGTCACTTTTCATCTTCCCAATACAGCTTTTTACAAACAGGTACTTTCATATGTATTACAGACTTACATTCATCAGGGACAAGGCTAAATTAATAACATTATTAAAATCAGATAATTATCTGAGGACATTGGTAGTAGCTTGTTCTTTAGCAGCTCATGAAACTCAGGCATGAATGTCTGAATAGCTTGCCCAAAGTTGTTATTGGCAGTGGCAAGCCTGTTCTCATTACCGGCGGATTTGTTTGTCAGCAAAGGCTGCAGGTAACTATTCCGTGCTTGGAGCCAAGTTTGCACACACATGTCTTCTGCCAGGAGATTTAGATCATTTTCCCACCTGTGACTTTAAGGCTTATAGCTCTGGAGTGAAGGGTCCTATCAAATGGCTGTTGGTTATGCAGCTGACTTTTACCTTGAGTTCCCTGTGAAGGCTGGCAGTTGTCACTCACTAAATCTGAGTCAAGGCTCACAGTTTATGCCTTTCTGTGGCCAGAGCTGTGTAACCCTGGAGAATTTCCCTTTACAAGCTTCTGAAATAGTTTAGCATGGACAAGGTAGGGCCTGGTTAGCCTTACATTTCCAATCTAAATAACCAACTGGGAAAACAATCTACATATTGATGAGAAAAACTGAGTGAAAAACTTTGAACAATTCCATTTGTCAAAGTGTGGAAGGTGGGCTTTGTGTGTGCCGGGATGAACAAAATGAGAACAGAAAATGAAATAAAAAATGCTCAGCTTTTTGGAGAATGTTTTCTTACCTTAAAAGATAAGAAGTAGCACAGGGTGTTTGAAGGTCCCTGTTGCTAGAATACCGTTTACTTTCCAGCCTTATGTAGTTGCTCCCTCCCCTTCACCAGTACACTAGGGGAGGGGCTCGAGAACTCTACCTCAGTGCCTTTCCATGTTATTTTGAGACCTGCAGAGAGAAGCCAGGTCTCAATACCTGTGTAAAGCAAAAGTTTTCTGCGGCCCTAGACTTGAAGCTCCTGAGGAAATAGACTCGCTGACCTCCTTCTTAAGAAAACATAGGCAGTGACTGTAGGTATGGAGACACTGCGGAAGTAAGGGAAGAATACTGGCTTCTTTCGACACAGACAACCTTGCCAGCTGGTGTGTATTTGAAGTGAGCCATTTGTTTTTTAAAGGCAACATTTATGAAGGTTATTGAGGGTGAGGCACAGTAGTTTGTTCGCCCATTAAACATTTCTCAGCACCAGCCGTTTCAATTCTTAGCACAGAACCTATATCACGTAAGTGCTGGTGATCAGCAACAAGAGCAGGTCTGAATGCATAAAGCAGACCCAATCTTTTGCACCCCAAAGATCTCTCTAACCCTAAGTACTGCCATACATCACTCCACAATGGGGATTCATCCCCAGGAATATGCCATTAAGTGATCTCATTGTGTGACTATCATACAATGTGCCTGCATAAACCTCAATAGTACAGCCTGCTACTACATACCTTGGCCGCATGATTATTCTGTTCCATGCAGTCCACGGTTGACTAAAACTTCATTACATGATGTATGACTGTGTCATAGATGACCTCTTTTCCTTCAAAATGAATTCAGGTCAACCGTGCTTCTTAAACATGGCTCAACATGAGAATCACTAGATAGCTTCCCAGAGCACAAGCTTTCCATTTTACCCTCACAGAGCTTTTTCATTTCTCTGATAAGAAAAAAAGAATAAAAATAAAAATAAAAAGCAATAGACCATGTTGCCTTCTTGTTTTCTTGAGGTAGTTTTAGAAAGCAGGATCTTTTAAACTATAGATAATGGGGTTGGTCCTTCTAGTATTTAATATGAAACACACCTCAAAGTGTTTAAAAATGTCACTCTGGACAATACCTCATATAATGTGTGTTGATTAAGAGTAATTTTATGGTTGGATTAGTGTTGCAAAATCCTATGTCTACAAAAGGGCAGGATTCCACTCAGCCTGGCTTCATGCAAATGCTTTCACATCCTGGGATGTATGTGAATTCCCAGCTTTGAAAAGAATCCTGCTACTGAATATTCCTGGCAGTTCCAGATCTTCATCTCAGGAAAGTCAGAGACACAGACAGGAAAAAGCACTCCCTGTGCTGGCTGCATTCGGATTCCTGCTTCTTTTCATTCTCATTATTGGCTTCTGAAGTGAGTGTTAATTTGTCTTCATTACTGAGAAAGAGAAACTGAGCAGTCATACCACATGAAGACAGAACGAAAGCTCAATCTGGCCACCTTCTAAAGATTGCGGAGCTGCAAAAGAATGAGATCGAAAAGATGAAAATCGGGAAGAATCCTGGAAAGATTAAAATAATATTTCTCAAACTCCAGCGTTGTGGTGGTGTAAAGACATTGGAGGCTCAGTTCTGCCCCACAGATTCTGCTCTACGTACTTGAACTAAACCTGAACACGAAGAGTTTTAGAACCCTTCATGTGGCTTTCACTGGCAGACAGGGCTGAAAAACAGTAACAGTTTCACCAAAGTTCTCAAGCTTGCCTTGCATGGTGACTTGTTTCTGCTGGCCTAGACTTTGTAACACCTGCCTGCATTCTAGCCTGTGCAGGTGAGGCGCCAGAAGAAAACAGTTACTTCAGGGCCTTCACCAGGATCTTTGGGTAGCTACTCTTTGATCCATATACACAGATGATTTTTGTTGTAAGGAGGCATTGTTAGGGCTCTGCATGGAGTACTGCAGAACTCAGCATATGCCACAGATATTATGTAGGTTCAAACAGTGATACTTAAATCAAACAGCTTTAGCTTGACATTTTAAGCCTGTTGTTGCCATTGTTAAAGCTAAATTTGGGGCCAAAATAATGTTCCATGTACCAGGAAGGATCTGAAGTCTGCTTGGATGTGAATCAAGACTCCAGACTTCCTTCACATCATATCTGTGAAGTAAATCCATTAAACCTCAGTTCCCCCTCCTGGTAACGTAGTGGCGCTTATGCTTCTGGATAGGCAGGTGTAAACTGAAGCATGGATTAAGCTACTTCACATTAAATTCTCAGCATGCTACCTAGTAAAATTACTAGACATTATATGTCATTTATAATCATATCTGAATACAACAGCTTTATCATTTTGATGTGTGAACAAATCTAAATTTGTTTTCTGGAGAAAAACTATTTGCACTAGTTTATGCGAGGAGAGAAGAGGAGAGAGTGAGGAGGGGGGAAAGGAGAGAGAATACAAGGTGCTGGTAGTAGAAGAGAAGAAAGCTATAGGCAGTCGTTGTAAGGGAGGAATTGTAATATTGATGAAAACAGTGAGGGCTAGCTGAGAGTTCAAGCTCATGAAAGAGCATTGTTTTATGAAATTCAAAGATCACATAAAATAAAGGATGGCAGAAGATGGTTGGTTGTGTTGTTTTTGTCTTGGGGTTGTATTTTTCTAAGCGTGTTCAGAAGTGACTCCTAAGTTAACACTGTGTGCAGATGCATAAGCCTTGGTCAAAATCGTCACCAGCTGATTCTATGTTTTTCTGCAAGTTATTTGCCGTAAGAGAAGAAAGGACTCTCTGTGTCCACTGGTAGAGGAAGTGTTCACCATGCTGATAAAGCACATGGGTAGTGGAGTTCTCTTCCCGTATTTGTTTCTTTTCTATCAGAGAGGGAGGCTGTACTATTGGGTTCAGCTGTAGGGAATTTTACTGGAAGGAGGAGCATCAGGCTCCTTCGAAGACCCAAGAAACACTTCAACAATGAGGAAAAAAAAGAAAACCTTCAGGAGGACACCAAGACCCCAGAAGAAAGGTCCACACCAAACTCAAGATGGTACCCCTGTGCCTGCCCTGCTGTCATGCCTTGTCACCAAATCTTAATCCCTGCATAGGAGAAAAGCAAGAAGTGCATGCAAACAGCACTGAGCACAGCTCCCCCCTTACCCCCTATTGAGTGGAGGTGACAGCAGCAGGCATGCGCATATTTCATAGCTCGGTGGGGAGCTGATCTCTGTCAGTAGGTTCAAGCTATTTGCAGTGAGTCTAGTGGCAAGCAGAGTTTTTGTTCTGACAATAAGAATTCCAGCAAATGGTAAATGTTTCTTCATGCTGAGAAGTGGGAAATTCAATAATACTTTGGTTGAGTTCATGCTGAGTTGCGAAAATAGGATGAATATGAAGAGGGACTATGATTCAAATGACATAAATTATTGAGCCCAAGCCTGAGATTTTGAGGTGAGGCTCTCAGCCCCCCTTCTCCATCCTCCTAGGTCATGTTTATACTTGATCTAGATGTGGTGGGAGTGGTAGTAGTGGTGACTGCAGTTCTTTACTATAGGATTAAGTGTTTTCTGAGAGCTTAAAAATGACCAATTTCTCATTATGAGAGAGCCCCTTGCTGACAGCCTTCGCTGTGTGAGTATAACTCCAAGGCAGCTTCGGTCTGGGTGTTAGAAAGCCCAGGAGCAGCAGCTCTTACACAGTATCCTTTTTGTAAGTGACTCACATGTTTCAGGGCAGACCCAGAGCGACTGCTCACCAGAGCAGGAGTTTCTGCTCTTTTCAGTGACACAAGCAGCACATAGCGTGTGTTTTCCCCAAACTGTGGGAAATATAAATCTTAGACTTCAAAAACTTCAAAAATAAGACTTTCTGGGGTCTAGTGGGAACACGGCAGGGACATTGGGTTATCAAATTTTCTCTCAGCTGTATTCTTGTAGAGTTGATAGATTATTTCAGACAAGAAATGCTTAGTTATGTTTCTCTTGTAAAATTATATCACTCATAGCTAATTATATAAAACATTAGAAAATGACATTAGCCAATCAAAACAAATGTTCATGCTACACAGACATAATCACTGTCATGAGCTAATATTTGTTTTTTTCGATTTTCCTCTACACATGGTAATATGCTGTGTACTGATAAGATTAATTAGGACGTGGAGAATTAGCTCAGAGGTTAAGAGTCTTCTAAAGAACCC